ACCTGTTAATCCTCAAGTGCAAATGCAAATTCCATTCCTTGCTTCGCAAGTAATGCCTAGCACGACCGCGGCTACATCAAATATGGTTCAGCCACGATTTGCTACAAATTTCTCCCGCATATTCAATTATGCTAACCAAGCTGGAGAGTCTAGTTCACCAAACACAGCTAGTGACAACGAGAAAGTGCCATTTATAAACCAGGTGCATTTTCTGTCCCCTTATTCTCCGTTTCATTATGTTGAAAGTTATTTGCACATTGTCTTATTCCGTCGTTAATTTCGCTTTTGATTACGAGAGAGTACTTTTCAATCTTTGTAGAAATCTAAGGTGATGGCTAGTCATGTGGTGACACCCACATCGAATCAGTGACAACAAAGTAGCAGACAGTCACTAAAATGAAGCAGGTTACCAAGGTTTTTATATATATATATATATATATATATATAGTTGCTAGAGTACTGATGATGTTCCATGCCAAAGTACTTATAAAAATTTGTTCGAGATTATTGACTCTGAATCAAATTTATTCAGGTACTAATGATTTTATGATTTGACGAACTACTATATCTAACTTATTCTTCTCTCGCTTCTCGCCTTGGAATCTTGTTAAGAAACAATCGGTACAAGTCCTTCACATCTTGGATGCGTTTGGCAGCAAATGTATCCAGATGAGCACCATATCGCTCATACAAAGCTGGCACTGTTCCTCCAAACACGATGACTTCATACCGATAACACAGAAAACGATCAATTAGTCTCAAACAAGATTATTAATCAAACTTTAAAACTATCGATCTGCAATAATGTATTGTGTGTGTAGTGTATTGGCGTTGGTCTGGTCGGAGATCTCACTCGTATATAAAAGGTTCAGAAGGCTGATATGATTTCCAATAACCGACAATATCCATAGACAAGCCATTGCCTGCATGTATATTGAGCACTTATCAATGTCAAAATCCTTGGAGAAAGGTCACTGGTCAGGGTACGTAAAATGTCGAAATCAAGTAAGATTACTTACCAAAAATAGGAGTTTCAAGTCTTTTCCAGATGAAATTTCCAAAACGTTGAGCAAGAACAGGTTAAATATTTCGAACAAGTATCTACAAGTCGATTCCGATGAGAGTTTAATGTCATCCAAATGAGGTGGAACAAAACCAAACCTAACAAGGAATTACGATGAATAACGTTATACAAACAGAAACTAAGAACCAGAAACCGGATTAGATACTGATGTTAATTAAGTGGACAGATTATATTATTAAAAAACAGATTACCGAGCGATTAGTCTCGCTCCTCCTTGCTGCAAGAAGAAAATACCAAGCATGGTGATCGTGAGGGTGTTACAAAGAATAGTAAGAAACTGGTATTCTAGTACTTCTAAAAAAATCCATATGCCTGTGAGCGCGCTTAAGATTAAAGCAGATATTATCTTGTTCTTCCATAATAATATGTTAGCCACTGCAAAAATCAAATTCAAGTAACGAAATAGTTATCAAACATGTCCTAAATGGTTACGTTGCAAATGAAATTACAGAAGTTACCTTTTCCTCCTCCAAGAATGGCACGAATATGAGACATGGTTGTGTTCAATGCGACAATGTTAATTACTACTAATTTTCTGCTAGGCCTACATCTATAAGCTTATTTATAAAAAGGAAGAAATTAAGGAATGGGCAATTGGCATGGCGCAGAAGATTGGTTCTTCCTCGCATGCCTATTTCAAATTAATGCTTATATGTATTAATAAAAATCTTCATGCAGGCACTAAATCTTACATTTTCGTGCAAGGAATGTTAAATGTCGTTTAATGATTTTGAATGTCACAGTTTTTTGAAGTAGAAAGTTGAACATTAATATGGAGCAGGGCATTCCTACCGTAGTTTATTTGCAATAATTCAATTTATTAGCACTTTAAAATAATCATCTTGCGTTAAACGGTTATGAGAAAAAAGTTAAAAACAGTGAAGTGAGGAATGAGATGGCTGGTTTTTAAGGTTAAATTCTAATAGCATTTCATTTTCCTAAGAAAAAACTATGAAACTCTTGTTTGGTCACAGAAACTATGAAACTATCCAGGAAAAACGAAAGAGTACGGCTATGTACTCAACTTAACTGGGCTTTGCCATTTGTTTGGACCTTTCTTCTCCAACGATAGAGGACCAATCTTTGGACTTAGTTATTTTTGTTGGTCCAATTTTTGGATTTAAAGACGGGGAAAAAAACATCATATTTCTAGCAGTTTAACTTTAAAGATGTCATGTAAATTAAAGTGCGTGAAGATCTTTTTATAATACCAATTTATTTTACAAAAGTGAAAACAGATAAGAAAGTTAATCGTAATTTACTCGTGGGTTATGTGATTGGACCACATTGGTTATAATTATAACGGGTGCAGAGGATATGAACACGTTGATCACCGATAAGCATGCTCCAACTATCATCATTAGTGCTCCTATGGAGAGAATTTTCAATATTTCTAAAACACGGAATAATATGTCATATATTAACAAGTAATGAGAATGTTTTTTTTTCATAAATCTTTCATTTTATATAATAACATATAATGTATTTATTCATATCCAGAGTACACTGAAAAACCTATCGCGCATAAGGCATGCATAAATTCATATAATCTTGAAATCATTTTGGATCCAAAAATTCTTTGACCATTGACCAAATGAAATTAGTACTTCTGTTGAACATATTTCACATGTACGATTTTTCGGTGTTGGGCTAATCATCATGACAACGCGAGTGTAAAAGTAAAAGTAGGGAATTTCGCTTTAATAAAAAAAAAATTAGGGGGAGATTGGTCGTGATCGAAGTAAAATGCTGTATAACTTTATATTGACATATAAAACTAAAATATATGTTGACACATTTTGTTTGTGAATTTGATCTTTAATATGAAGTTTTAGTTTTGTGTACGTAAATAATATAATCTTGTAAATATGAGTTATATAGATAAGTCGCAAGTCGTTTTGCATTTTTTCACGTATAAACTTGTAATGAGAAGAGTAGTGTACTACTACTAGCGTATGATAACGCTGTTGAAGATCCCCAACTAATTGGAAAAGGGATCATCTTTGGATTTCCTTTTTCTTAATTCACCAAGTTCGGGGATCCGAACTATTGAAAGTTGATCCAACAGTTAAAGTTATCATAACTTATAAAGTGGACCCTTGTTTGTAGCCGTTGGATCAAATTTCAACAGCTTGGATCCCCGGACTTAATGAATTAGGAGGAAGGGATCCGGAGAGGATCCCTTTCCAAGTATTTGCACTAATCACTATCCCTGGCCACTCTTCTATAAATTGGCAAGAGATGGAACTGAGCTTCACCTGCACTGCACCAAAGTTTATACAGTAGGCAACATACATTGCTTCAACTTAAGCTTGAAGATGATGAGATCAATGTCTTACTGTAACGTTGGAATATTGTGCCTTGTAGTTTTTCTTGTCGTGGTCAGTGAAACCCAGGTGGGTGAGGCAGCCGTGACTTGTAACCCAATGGAGCTAGCCCCATGCGCCGCCGCAATCATGTCCTCGAACTCTCCCACCGCCGTGTGTTGCGGAAAACTCAAGGAGCAGAGCCCTTGCCTCTGCCAGTATGTGAAGAACCCCAACCTCCAGAAGCTTGTCAACTCCCCAAACGCCAAGAAGGTCGCCGACACTTGTGGTTCCCCATTCCCCACATGCTAAGCTTGATTAGCCTTTAATCTCAGCTACCACTTTCTTATTTATCGTCTTAATTATCAGCCGCTAATAACTAATAGTAGTGGCGTTTTTGTGCTTGTGGGAGATGGATTTATCATGAATTGGAAGCCTTGAACTTGAAGGTATATTAATGAAGCTTTTTACTAAGTTTTTTTACGTAGGCCTACAGTTCAATCCAATCTTTCGCGTTACATTTCACTCCAGCATAAACGTCCAGCTCATTGAGCTCAAGAAACTTGATCTAATTTTCTTAAAAATAAAGAAACTTAATGGATCCGTTGATTAAAAAAAAAAAAACATTCTGGATTGTTCGCCGATTTGTTGATAAAAGTAAAAAATTCAATTCATTTAAATAGGTCGGCAATAAGGCTAGCATTACATTATGGCGACCGTTGTATACCACTAAAGCTGAAGGAAAAATTTTATAAGATGACAATAAAGTCAGTAATGCTTTATGACACAAAATGTTGGGTGTTCGAGCATCAACAGTGCAAAAAATGAGTATAGTAGAGATAAGAATGCTTTGTTAGATATGTGGGCACACGAGAAAAGACAAGATTAAGAATGCAAATATCTGAGGTAAAATGGGAGTGGTTGCAATTAAATATAAGATGAGAGAAAATCGGTTACGATGGTTTGGACAAGTGAAGCAGAGACCTAAGATGCTAAAAAATGCAATTATAAGACAAAGGCTCAAGGAAAAATAGGTTTAGAGCAAAAGAGGTAGAGGAAACCTAGGAAGACTTGGAAATAGACTTTAAGAAAAGACAGAGTACTTGAAGCTAATGGAAGACTTTACACAAAACCGAGCACGGTGGCATTCTAGGATTCATCGCCAACCCCACTTAATCAGATAAGATTTTGTTGTTGTTGTATTTAAATAGCACCATTGATGCCAATTAGTACTGTTGTCTAGTGATATTTCTCTTCACTTGTAGGTGAAAAGTTATATTCAATTTTCGTGAAAAGCAAATTCAAATCAAATTATTATTAATAGCCTACCCATCCACTTGTACTCGAGTTCGAAACTTTCAATTTTCTTTTTGCAGCACATCACAACAGAGAGATGATAAATTTTTAAGTATCTAATCGATATCTGATAACGATGTCGTTCACTTTTTATCAATACGTTGTTAAGATATTTGTTATTGATTAGTTTAACAATTGAAATTTGGTTTATCATCATTTTTTACAATTACTTAACAAAACAACGAGTCCCCTAGAGTTAGTTCCTCTCCGACTAAAATTTTTTTTGGGTGCTGTTGCCTGATCCAGAGAACCAATGTCAAACATAGATATGTATAATACCAAAACACAACACACATGAGTCAAATAAATATGGGAAATCAAGCAACCAGCAAAAGTTGGGGAATGTATATGACTGGGGAATTACTTCCACTTCTAACATATATATGATAACATAGCACATACAAGTCTTTAGCTCATTTCATATTTGCTCCATCCATTTCTTTCCCCTCGATCGACAAAAGCCATCAAAACTGCAGAACTAATAGCGGAATTATACCTTCTGAAATCCACTGGCTTGTTGTTGCTGCTGCTCATGCTGCCCGTAGTTAGAACTGCTCATGTCAAGGCCTTCATTTCGGTGCTTCTCCCATCCCCCAGTATCAGCTTTGGAATGTGCCCAGTAGTAAAGACTTGACCCTGCCAGTGACAACAGCGTAAGAGCAGCGCCGGCGGCAAACACCCCTTTGCGCAGAGTAGCACAGGACAAGTCATCTGCGTTAAAGATTCCCCGGTACTTGGTGTGGTATGCATTCTTTGCCGACCCAGCCAACAAGCACGCCTCCGCTCCCAAAAAGGTTGTCCTGATTAATTCACAGTTCAGAAGCTTCAGATTTTGGTTTAGCAAAATGAAGCAAATGGGATTGCTATTTACACAAACACAATACTAGAGTAGAGAACTACATTCACTCATGGACCAAGCACAGTACACTAACAATGCAACGACAAAGCCTTATCTCACTAAACGAAGCCGCCTGTATGAATCTTAGAACGTCATAGTACTCAGTTTTGCGTCAAGTCTTTAGTTATCTCCAAATCAGATTCCAGAAAAATACAAACAATTAAAAGTAAATGACAATGTGTAACAACTCAACAAGCAAGCAATTAGATCATCCAAAGGAACACTATACCAACCAAGTGACCAAGTCAATTAGTTACTTTGACTATTTCTAAGATATGGAACTATTAAGACCGTTGATCAAATAATTAAACCAAGATAAAGAAATTAAAAATGGTTAAGGAGAGGGGGATAAAATGGGTAAAATCACCAGGAGAAGACGAAGAAGAAGACGGTCCAAGTCGTGGAGGAGCCAGTGACTAGACCTTTGCCGCAACAGAGACACCTGGTGACGCCGTTAAGCACCGCCTGGCTGACCAGAAGCAGCCCACACGCCGCTAATCCGTACACCGTGGAGGCGTCCGTGCCGTACACGCAGTAGGTACGCTCGTCGTACTCATCGGGCACTATCTTCGCCTAATTCAGAGACACAAACACAAACAGTAACAGTTAGGGTTTGAAGTACTTAAATATAAAAATTAAAAATTAAGAATTAAAACTTAAAACGGACAGACAGAGGGAGATGGGGGTGGGTACCGTGCTACGGCGCCGTTCAGCGCCGACGGCGAAGATGAAGGCGATGAGGTGGAGGGAGGTGACGATGGCGACTATGGGTATTGAGACTGCCATTGTTGTCTCTCTCTGCAAGAGTGTGGCGTTGGTAAACTGAAATATCACTCTCTGCTTTTGAAGAAAAAGAAAAGAAATTTGGGCAACTTCCTTTTCCTTTTGTTTATTTTTTGGTTTTGGCGAAGAAAAATGGGGAATTTGTCGCTGCTTTTTAGATGAGGTTGGATTTGAATTTCCTACATTTCGAGTTTGAGTAACCTGCGATTTGCTCTTTGAATTATCATTCAATTTTCAATTTCTCTACTCAACTTTTTCATTTAAAAATTACAGATTTAAACTAATTTTTTTTGGCCGATTTGCCCCTTACTGTTAATTTTTCATTCATTCCATCCAAATTTTTGTTAAATAGAAGCATGTGCACAACATGTGTGAGTAGTTCGGTCGCTTCATTCTTTAAAATAATTTAAAATCTTATATTTCTAAATTATAAACCTATGCAAATATATGTGATTCTATAACTTTTGTGTGTGAATGTCTAGTGAAGTGACAGTTTTGTTCACAAATGAGAGTTACATGATTTGCACATGATAAGAATTAACGTTAATTTGGATGAAATCTATGAAAAACTAATGATAGGGGGAAATTGACCTAAAAATTAGTTTAAGTCCTTAATTTTCCAATTAAAAAGTTTATGAGAGAAATCAAAAGTTGGATGATAGTTTAAGGGGCAAATCGGCAGTTTACTCTTCGAGTTTCAAGCTTCAAACTTTTTACAAGGATCAAGGAGTGAGTGAGCTCCACTCGTCTAACAACAAATAAAATTGTGGCACAAATTGATTACTTTTTCAAGTATTTGGCAATTGTTGAATAATTAGCAAATTTTCCCTATAATTTTGAGGTTAAAATGTTTTTCTCTAAAAGATAACTAGTTTTTTGCCACACGCGTATACGTGTGACAATTAATCTTTACGCCGAGTTATTGTAGATCTTTATTTGGATAAATTTTTCAGTTTGTCGAAAATTCATTTCAGTACACCAAGCATATGAAAATAATTGATTATAAACTTAAACGAAAAAATTTCAAATAATTATATCATTGTACTTGTTATACCGGATTATACGTATCCGGAAATAGGTTTTGGACAAGTTGCAAGAGCGCAGGTTGGATTGTCGGATTGCCAGATTCCCGGGTTGTCATACCGGAAATAGCAGGTCACCCTTTTAAATCTTGGATGTTGATTGGTCCCCGTGCCACAGTCCACATCACTAAACCAGCAACAACTATTTAATCTCAAAATTACCCCTTCTATATTGGGCCAACATTAAAAAACAGCAGCCCATCCCATCTTGGGCCTCCACTGTATGTTAGATAGGGTCTATCACATGGTATGGGCCAGCATTGTGTATTGGAAGTGGTGATTAACTGTGACTTGTCACTAGTTGTTCCCTTTATTATTAAAAAAAAAAAAAACCCACCACTAGTGAAAGTGAAACCCCACAAATAAGATAGAAGCTTATATCGAAGATGTTACTGTGGCAATGCATGCTAGACTGCATGGACTATTTCTACGTGATAGTACATAACATGTCATTGCATTGTTACTCTCCTTTCCCGGAAATCTTCTTTTCTATAAACCTTTCTATGCTTCAATTTTGTTTAACTATAAATCATTGTTGAATAGATGTTCAATCCACATAAGCGATCACACTAAAGTTCACCTATTGATACTCGTATTATTTTTACATCTCACTAATACTTGATCCACTTAAACGATCATACCAGTATTCACCTATTGATACTCGTGTTCATAAAAACACGATTCAGTGATTCTCAGCTTGACCTTTGGATTTAAGGCATCATCCAAAATCCTAATAATTAGTAATTATCCAAATTCCCTAAGACAACGCTAAGCTAAACAAGATGGCACGAAAATAAAGGATAATTGGCCAATTCCTTTGGCATACATATGTTAGATACGCGGCGCCTAGACGAATACAACGCAACACGTTGACCAAACCAAAGAACGAAAGAAAATCCAAGCCATCAAACAAGGAAACAAAACGACATGGACAAATCAATCTTCCCAGATTTTCGTCTCCATTCACTGTCACATATATAATCAGCAATTAATCAGCATTACACCTCAGTCTTAAGACTTGAGTCTGAAATTCCCGATCAATTAATTACTAAGCACTCTCTCTCTATATATACACGCACACGCACACGCACACGCACACGCACACACTCCATATCTCTGTCTCTTAATTTCTGTGCAACTGGTCACTGTGTATCCACAATCCATGGCTAATTCAGATTTGTCCACGGTTTTGCCTCGGGTTCTTATCGTCTCCCGACGAACCGTCTGCAAGAACAAGTTTGTAGATTTTGTGGGTTAGTTTCCATCTGTCTCCATATATCTTGCTTAAACTATTGATTCCGTCACGTATTTTTCACACATCTTAGGTGGTTTTTCTGTTTTTCTGTTTTTGGACGTTACATTGCTCAGATTTTCAGATGTTGATTTTCCTTGTTCAACAATAAAACTATGTGCTCTTTCTCGATTTATTCTTATTTAATCCAAACGGAGAATTCGAACTATAGTGCAAAGAGAGTATATTGCTTTAAACTTGACTAAATGCAGATATGTTACATAGATTATCGTTTTCTTAAACCAAACTTTGATGCAAATGGAGAGAATATTGCTGTTGCCAACTCGTCTAAATGCAGACGTTCAAAAATTATCGTTTGTTAAACCAACCGTGTGTGTTAAATAAAACGTGTTTCTCATTTCTGAACATATGGGACAGGAGAATATCATCTAGACCTATTAGTAAGCTATGGAGCAGTACCTGTCATCGTCCCAAGAGTCAGCGGAGTCCACATGCTGCTCCAAAGCTTCGAGCCAATCCACGGAGTCCTTCTCTGTGAAGGCGAAGACATCAATCCGTCCCATTATGATGCGCAGCTCTCCGGTTTCTCTCCCGGAGAGCTAGAAGAGATCGGAAAGCTCCATGCAAACGACACCGCCATCGACAAAGAGAAAGATTCAATAGAACTAGGGCTTGCAAAGCTATGCCTAGAAAGAAACATCCCGTACTTGGGAATATGCAGAGGCTCCCAAGTCCTTAATGTCACATGCGGCGGCACGCTCTATCAAGACGTTGAGAGCGAGCTGTCGAAAGAATGCCCCGAAAATACTCTCAGAGTTGCTCACATAAGCTATAAGAATTACGACGGGCATAGGCATGTGGTGAAGGTGGTGGAAAATACACCTTTGCATGGATGGTTTAAAGACTCTTTGGATGGTGAGAGAATGGAGATATCTGTGAATAGTTATCACCATCAGGGGGTGAAGAGATTGGCGCCGCGGTTCGTGCCGATGGCTTTCTCTCCGGATGGTTTGGTTGAAGGATTTTATGATCCGGATGCTTATAATCCCGACGAGGGTAAGTTTATCATGGGGCTTCAGTTTCATCCGGAGAGAATGCGAAAACTCGATTCGGATGATTTTGAGTATCCAGGATGCCCGTCTGCATATCAGGCACGAACTGAATTTCTTCTAGTTTGTCATGTTTTTGGTTTGTTTTTTGCCAATTTTATGGTCAAAATTAATTGTATCTGCAGGAATTTGTTAAAGCAGTGAGAGCTTACGAAAAGAAGCTCAATGGAACCACAGCATGTGTGCCAAAATCTCCAAAGCTTAACCATGATCAAGAGATGAAGAGGAGGAACATCGTAACGAGCCTCACAGTAGCAAGAAACATGTGCTCGAAGCGTGGAATTGTTTCCGGCAGAGTCTGATCAACTCGACATCGGAGCTGAGTTTCTGGAGGTCAGTATTAAAACATCTCCACACAGTATAACCAACCCGCAACATAGTTCCTAGTTCTTGTAGGTTGTCATGATAGTTCGATTTTAATGGTGTGTTGTTCCGAATGGTGTGATATCAGGCGAATACGGCATTGAGCTTGCAGCAAGAAAGAAGGCTGAAGCAGATGGGGGCAACAGTAAGAAACGCTTCTGCATACATGAAACAACTGAAGATGTGCGAGGAGAGGGAGAAAGTTGCGAAGGCCTTCATCGTGAAGATGTCGATAGAGCAGATATCTGATCTGACGTCGTTTTATCGGATGATGAGTCGGATATGTTCCGAGGCTTTGGAGACAAAGTTTCATGACTTGCTGCTTGAAAACGATGCTGATTAATTTCTCCTCACTTCCAATTCGTTATGAAAGAATTGTTTCCCTTATAAATCTGAGAGCTTAAAACACGAGATTAATATAAAAACTCTTCCTCCAGCTGCCATGACAAAAGAATGACGACCGACTCCTTCAACTTGATTTCATTTAGCAAGAGGAACATAGATCACAAACCAGACAGATAAGCAGCAACAAAACACGCTTAAAGCGTTACAACAAAGCCTTGTCCCATTAAGTGATGTCGACTGTAAAACAGCACGTCTAATCATCAGGCAACAGCTAACAAAACTCTTAAAACACATTTCCATCATTAACGGATGCGATTCAGATACACATTTGGCGAAGAAAAAACTAACACTTACAGTTTAATCTAAATCAAAACCCCCTGTAGACAGGATTACATACTAATAATTAACATCATATCACGGCATAAAAAAGAGCCCGGTTTTTCTTTTTTTAATAGTTAATGTACTCTTCTTACTACCAACAAAAAACAACGGAAACAAGCAAGATAAAAACTTGTTTACATCAAAAGCAGTAACTTCCATTTAGAGCTAGACCTTCTATAGATTATCTAACTATATTTTCCTTCTATTCACTTTTTACTGAGCCTCTTTCATCTCATGCCAAAAGCTTCACTTTTCTTCTGTGGGTTACCCTTCATCCTCTCTTTTTTCATTTTCTTTTCTTTTCTTTCTCCTTTAGTAAATAACAGAAAACCAAACGACAGAATCACCGCAAACCAAATTGCCACCATGAGTTTAACAAAATAAAGAGACTTTTCACAAGTAACCCGTGCAAAAGGCTTCACGTCTAGAACGGTGGCAGTAGCATCACAGTTAGCATCATCTTGATATCATCTACGGTTAAAAAACAGAAAATCTGGGTGATTGACCCGATGCGTTCTTAGAAAGTTGTCAGCAGCCTGCAAAAGAGAGCCGGCTGACTGGCTTTCAGATCCACCACTCGGAGTCCACAATGAACGACTGAATTTGTATGAAGCAAGGCCAAAAGCAGGTAACGACATCTTAGAGACACCATCCATGTCACTTGGATATGTCAATACAGGAGCACAGTCATCTTGTACACCTGAAACATAATCAAAGAAGAGACAAGTTTCACATTTAAAATCTAGTTATACTTCACACGTAATGAATCATCCTTGATATCTGTCTACCATATTGTACATCCATTTTGACGTGGAAGCATGCATGTACAGGGGATAAGACAAGATAAACTTGGGCATAATGCAGATATCAGCATACGTTGTGCATTGACATTAACTTTATTTAATCAATAATGCTAAATCCCCACATTGTAGTAAATGCTAAAATTAGAAGATAAAATCTGTAAGAAATCAATCTAACTACATAAGCAGTTAAACTAATATATGGTTTATGGTTTGTTATTTCATTAAGCTATATGAATAAAAGATATATTATCAGACCAAAGCACCAAACGAAACAACGTGGTATCTCATTTATGATGTATGATTACAATTTATAAAATCAGACCAAAACATCAAAATGAAATAACATGTCATCACAAGAGTATCAATTATGCAGACCAAATGTCAGGGAACAAACTTTCATCCTAAGCAAAACTAAAAGGGTTAAAAAGTACCTCTCATGGGTGTAAAAAGTGAATGGTATGTTAGAAAGCACGCATCAAGATCCTTTAGAGTTGGTCCTGTTGGAATCCTATAAATTGGATACCTGAAAAGGTCATACCAAAACCAATTAGTCACACGACAGTGTACAACGAGTAAACGAAAACAGTGATCTATAGTACCATGCAACAGATATCCAGCTGGGTGACAGTAGATCACAGCTTCTTAGTGTCTTTAGCTCAGGAAAATGGAGTATCTGTAGAAAGGGAAAGTTCAGAACAACATCCGAAAAAAGGGAGGTCATAAATAGCAAGATATATTACTATTGATGCTAGAGAGAAATGAAATTATAACCTTGTCAGCTAAAGGCTCACGGCAATAAGGAAGGTCCCGTTCAAAATACTCAAACAGTAAGGAACCTTGAGAATTTATAGATTCGCCCTCCTCACTGGAACAGTCTTCATGGGGTGGTAAATGCGGGTCTCTCAAAGATAATCTTTCTATCCTACGAGGAATTTCACTAGTCAGAATTTGGTGATTCCGCTGCTCACTCAAATATTTTAGCCTATCAGTTTCGTAATCACAGCTACCATCACTGCTAGAATCCCTGAAGTCACTATCACTGTCCTCATCTAGTCGCCTGTCAATAAACGACCATCAATCTTTGAATAACATAAATGAATGAAATAAACCATTCATGTTTTGACAAAAAGCAAATATGTAAACTAAAGTAAGCAACGGGCAATAGTCAGTATACACTGATTCCGTTAAAAGTATATATTCTGATGCAAGGAGTAAACAAACATAGTGATCCATGAAACCCATTTACCATAAGTGCACGCGCCATACAATTAAGAACAACAAACAAATTCTCAAATTCAGTTTTGGATTTACCTCGGAGTAAATGCAGGACAAAAATCATTTTGCAGAGAGATAACGGTACACTTATCACTGATTCACTATCATGAAAGAAAATACAAACAATGCATGCATTTGACTATAACCAACTAGAACTATATCAAAATTCTTCTAAACGACAAAACAAATGATAAATTGAATTAAGCCAAAAGTATGGAGTAAAATGTATACCTAGTCTTAGTTGCCAATTTCGCAGAGTGGCCGTGTATTTGAATGCCGGACAGGTAAGGGACGTAGTACTGAACCACAGAGTCACTGTCATTCAAAATCAGAGGCACTCCTGCACCATAAGCACTCCACTCCTTGAAGGACTCCCATAAATCCCCAAGAACAAAGTATGGCTGATATTCAACGTCGCATGTACTCAATCCTCTCATCGTCCTCTGCAACCAAACAATTAATTACAAGATTAACAAAAAAAAACCCAAAAAATTACACAAATTAGATTCAAGCAAACACCTTGGAGAGGTACTGGGCGGGGACGGACGGAGAGATCGACTGCAAGAACCGCTCGAGATTACTCAAGGGCTCCACGACGGGCTCAAAAGCAGGCACGGCGACGGGCTTGGGCGGCTCATCAGACGCCGTCCGGTTCTCCGGCTCGCGGTTGGGGTTACCCTTCAAGGAAGGAGACGGGCTGGGCGTGACGTCGCTCTGAGCTCTGCGAAGTTGCTCCGCCTTCTGGTTCTGGTGGGCCTTACGAGCTCTCGCCGGATTGTAAAATCGATCCTCTCCGCGGCCGTGCCTAAACTGCAATCCCGTACCCAACATCGCGTGAACGGCGAAGCAGAAACTGGCTCAACGAGAGCCTTATATCCGGTGCTCCTCTGCACGCAGAGCGTCTTAAACCCAGAAACAAAGTCAACGGGAATGGTACAAACCGAAAACAACTGGGCGATGGTATTTAGGGGATCGGCGCCTCTAGGGTTTGTCAAAATTAGGGTTAATCGAGAAAAGTGGGGGAATCGGATCGGAAACGATTGGCGTTGCGGGGGCTGAGTCGGAATAGCAAAACCCTATGGATGCGACGGAAGAAGAAAACGATGATATGGGTAAGGTTTTGAGGGGCAATTTGGTAATATTAGTTGGAATAGTGGGGAAGGGAAGCGATGGGAGGAAGGCGAAAGAAGAAAGCAAATGGTGAAGCAGGCTCTGTATAAATGGATGGGAACTGCGTAGGGGTAGGAGAAGAACAAAATTTTTTTTTTTTTTTTTTTTAAATCCTTATTGTTAAGATCATCTCTAATTCTTTGGTTAAAAATCAAATTTTTTTAGCTCAAAAAATTTAGTTTTTAATATAGAAACAACTTTTCTGCTAAAACCCTTTTGACCTAAAATTTTAGCCGGATTATTAAAAAATGAACTTAGGCTAATTTTTTTCTTAAATTAATTTTTTAAAATAAATATATAAATATGTAGACTATTGTAAATTAATTTTATGAATATTTTAATAAAAAAATATTTAAATTCTGATAAATATTGAAAAATCACTAAAATTTCCACAAAGCAAGCCTTCAAAGCTATTGGATTTAAATTTGGACCGTTAGATCTTTTATTTTACCGTTAGATTTGATTATATTCGATCTCAGCCGTTGGATTCAATAATATATAAATATAAAAAATAAAAAATAAAAAAGAAATTTGAATCTAGGCCGTTGGATGGAAGGAGTTGTTGGGGCTCATGCAGAACGTGGCCAACAGGTCCACATGGGTGGGTCCCTGACGGTCAGAAGCCTCACACGTTAGGCGTCATCGTGGGCTGCGTTTGGTGCCCAAATGCTGAAAAGCAATCCCTTCGATGGGGCCCACACTTACTGTTGGGCTAAATTTTGGGGGGAATCTGACCTCAGTTCCCTATTTAGCATTTAGCCCAAAGATTTCCTTGGGTTGGATTGAGTTTGGGAGGGAATTTAGCCCATAGCCTAAGGTTGGAGGAGGTGACTTAAATATAAATAATTAAAGTGCAAGAAGTTCTATTAACACTCCACAATCTTATGAATACATCCGTTAATTTTATTTTTTCAGTTAAATTTTCGTTTTTACCCTGACGAATTAAGTTATGTAGTCCAAAATAAACCTCATCCACCCCAAAATCCTCGTAAGCGCGGCAATCTCCATCATCGACGATCCTCTCAAATTGTTCACAAACCTGAAAAGTCATCAAATTCAACAAAAACAAAGTTAAATTAAATCAACACAGTTTAGTGAAGCAGAGGATGTCCTAGAGAGAGAGAGAGAGAGAGAGAATAATAACTATTCTTTGAGACGTTTGTTTGGATTGAAGCTGTCACATCCTGACCCGGGACCCCACCACATCCCAGGCTTGTGATGTGAGAATTATACGCACACAAATTAAACCCTCTTTTTGTCAATTGTAGTGAAGTGTGTAAGTAGGGATCGTTCTGGACCGGGGATTAGGAGGGATTGTTAATCTCTTGGAAACTGACTCAAAAACGTAAAAACAATATAAAACACTAAACTAGACTCAAAGAATGTGAAACTAAACGTTAAAACACTAAGACAAACCAAAAGACTCAAAATACTTTAAAGACATAAACTAAATTGATTTCTAGCTAAATTGAACAATAAAGTAAAGGGGGATTGTGTTTTGATGAAAATTGTAATAACAAAACAAGTTAATAAACTAGGAAGAATTATAAAACAAAGGGATAGAATGGATGGAATGGCTAGCTAAGGGGTTCATCTCCATACATGTTATACTTGCATATAAAACGATTTCCAATTGCTTTTCAATAAACCATGAATTCTCAACACCCGGGGTTAATTAGGTCCGCTTAAATTAACCGTCAAGTTTTCCTTAAGTTAATGAATTGGATGATTGCATACGACAATCCAAAGCATTCCTCACAAGTTCCCTACATGAATTGCATAATAGAGATACAAGCAAGAATCATTAAGCAATATGAAAACTATAAGTGTTGACGAGGCATTCGTTACTATGATTGCATGAAACTTATGCCAAGAATTTGTTTAACGCGATTGTTTATAAGCAACCTCCACTACTTGTGAATATAAGTTCATAACTATTACGTGAAACTCACTTATATTCTAGCGTCAAATTCATGCATGAAAATTAAGCGTCGACTCTCAATAAACATACATAAATAGGTTATCAATCAAATAGTTAAACAAATTGAATTCACAACTTATGAAACGTAATTAGAAGTACTCAAATCATATTGCAAGCATAAACATATATTTCGAATCACCCCCTAGCTAAAGGGGGGGTTTAGTTCCTCATAACTTTGAAATCAAAGAAACACCTAAACATTCCAACAACTCAAACTTGAATTGTATGAACGTTTAGGCACTCTTCTCTTCCATTCCTCATACGTAAAAAACAAAGAGAATTGAATTTAAGCATTGAAATCAAAGAAACACCTAAACATTCCAACAACTCAAACTTGAATTGTATGAACGTTTAGGCACTCTTCTCTTCCTCTTTATTGTGGCACAAGGTCTAAGGGATGTTGTTGGTGTGTTGAATGGATTGGGGAATTATGGAAATGGATGAGGAGTGGTGGAAATGGAAGATGGTTTTTGGATTCTAAGGGAGAGAGGAATGTGTTTGTGGTGTGTTGTTGTGTTGTGAATGAGATGATATGAATGAATGGGAATGCAAGGGTATTTATAGGAGGAGTGGAGGGAACATATGGATGTTTGTTTAAGCATTTGTGTGAAGGAATGATGAAGAATTGCATGTGGAATTAAAGAATGAGTGGTGGTGTAATGATGAAGTGAATGCATGTGGAATTAAAGAGGGAGAATGTGGTGAAATGATGAAGTAGGAAGGTGGAAATGCATGTGAGATGTTGGAAAGGAAATGGGAATATGAGTAGGTCATGGCATGGGAGTTATTTTGTTGGTGTAAATGTGCCATGGTTGCAATGATGAAGAATAAAGGGTGCATGTGGGGTGGAATTGAATGAATGCAAAGTGAATGAATAATGAAATGAGTTAAAGAGGGAGAATGTGGTGAAATGATGAAGTAGGAAGGTGGAAATGCATGTGACTTGTTTGTGGAATAAAGAATGAATGGTGGAATGATGAAGAGTTGCATAAAGAATGCATGTAGGGTTAGCTAGGTTGGCTTTGTTTGGGTGCATGTGTGTTAATGGTGGTTTTGCATGTGAATTGATGGATTGTTTTTTATGGAATGGATGGTTCTTTGCATGGCTTTTGAAGTGATTGTGGGCTTTGGAATTGGAAGGAAATGCATGGCCTTGGGGTTGGTTTAAGAGAGAATGGGCTAGGCCCTTTGTTTTATGTCCAAAATGAATACAAGGCCTTCAAATTCGTCCAACACTTTGGCTCCAATCATATGCTATCCATTCCAAGTCCAATTTTGCTCCAAAATGCTCCAAAATGCATCTTTTTGCTTCCTTAGCCATATGAACCTAAAAACACACGAAAATGGCTTAAACTACTAAAACAACTATGAATTAACAACATAGATGCACGAAAACAAGCTAAGTAAGTCGCCTAAATATGCTCCTATCAGCTTGCTCCATCACCGTAGCACGATATTGTCGGCTTTGAGCTCCGACCACGCCCTCACGGTTTTTTTTTTTTTGGAACTCATACGAGAACCTCCTAATGGGTCACCCATCCTGGGATTGCTCTCGCGCTACTCGCTTAACTTCGGAATTTCGATGGAACCCGAAGTCAATGAGCTCCTAAAAAGATGGGAATATACATATAAGGCTTACAAAATCCACTATCCTGGCCGATGTGGGATGTAACAATCCACCCCCCTTAGGGGCCTGACGTCCTCTTCAGCACACAACCAGCCAGGTTTATAGGCTCTGATACCAAATTGTCACATTCCGACCCAGGGCCCCATCACATCCCGGGCCCGCTCTACCACCGTAGCACGATATTGTCCGCTTTGGGCCTCGACCACTCCAATTGTCACATCCCGGGCCCGTTCCACCATCGTAACATGATATTATCCGCTTTGAGCCCCTACCACACCCTCACAGTTTTGTTTCTGGGAACTCACACGAGAACCTCCCAGTGGGTCACCCATCCTAGGATTGCTCTCGCGCGTTACTCACTTAACTTCGGAGTTCTGATGGAACCCGAAGCCAATGAGCTCCCAAAAGGTCCCGTGCTAGGTAGAGATGGGAATATACACATAAAGCTTACAGGATCCACATCCCTGAGCGATGTGGGATGTAACAGAAGGTGTTGGGAAGAGAATCCACGAATAATACATGCGGATGGGGTGGCTTCAGAAAAATAGACGACAAAGTTGGAATTTTGGAGGCACATTTTAGACGTGGGGTGTATTCATAAAGATGTGGGGTGCTAATAAAACAACCCAAAACAAATTGCCAACAACTTTGGCACCCATGACTTAATGTGATGGGGGCACTCAATTTAGAAAATTACAATCTTGTTTTTTGTTGAATATTTGTGAGGCTTTTAAATTGGATTTTTTTTTTTCCAAAAGCAAAACACAAGTTACGTTTTGTACCATTTTACGTTTGTAAAAATATTTAAAATATAATTGATATATTCCATTTTTGTATCATTAAAGTTATATATTGTAATTTGAGTCAAATTATTGGTTTTTGTAATACAAAAATATATTTAGACGAAAGGGATGGTAGGGTTCGGCTAAACTAGACTTTGCGCATCATTCATGATATTCAAATTTAAAATTCTCATGTATAAGTAAATAAAAATTTTAGATCGTTGCATTGAGTGACATTATTGATTATGTGTTGAATAAGAGAAGAAAATACTCTATGAGGTGGTTGAAATTTGTGGTTAGATAAGGGCAATTTAGGTAATTTGAGTGTGTGTGGGAGTGGGTGTATCGATTGGGTCATGAGTTTGAGCGTTATCTAATGACTAAATGGAAAAGATCTGAAAGGCTTTACTAAACATGGTTGCGATTGGTGGCATGGAGGCCACATGCGTATGGCGGGATTCGCACATGACATTCGTGTCGCGTTTCTCGTATTCGTATCGTTTTCGTGTCATATCCGATATCTTAACGGGTCGTGTCGTGTAACACCTGTTAAAATAAATGAGTAAAATAACCCGACCCGATAATATTAACAGATAATATGATCCGATCCGTTATCTGTTAAGGAAAATATATTTTAAATAATAAATAATCAAATAAAAAAACATAATATTAAATAAGTATATACATACCATATTATCACATTCAAAACAAAAAAACGCATTTGTCTTTCAAGTATTACATATTTACATACCCAAAATAAGAGCATAATAAAAATAAAAATAAAAACATTAGAACATTACAAAATATCAAATGTTCAAAAGATTTGCAAAATTTAGGGAGTTATGTTTCAAGGTTTGGAACCTTACACACTTTCTTACAATCAAACTCTTCAATTTTCATCAATCACCATGGGAAACGGTATTGGAAATTTGGCTTGATATATCGTCTTCAAGAGTTATATTGATGATATTTTCAGTGTGGCTTTCTAAATTAGCACTCTCTTCTCATTTATCCTCTGGCTATTGTTTAAGTAAAGTCTTTAATAGTTTTTTTAATTAATGTAAAAGTGTGAAAAATATAGAAAAAATATATAAACGCTCGTAATGATAAGTTTTACATCTTTCGTGAATGGCTTAACTTTGAAATGTGCCACTGTAATCATATAAACCATAGATTAAAATTTAACCATCGATTATTGTTTACATTTATGCTTCATTTTTCTCACCAATTTTTGTTTTTTCATATTTTCTTTTTTGAAAATATGATCTATTAGAGGATATAAGAAGATGAAAGGTTTGGATCGTTGATATTATGTTCAGAGTTTTACCGTTAGTGAAAATATTGCTTGGTGTTTATGATGTATCTATAAACTATATAACATCAACTCATATTTCAATTAATCGTAAATATTGGGACGTGAAATCAAGGATCCAAACCGTTCATCTTCCTACATCCCCCAGAAGATGTTTTCAAAAAAGAAAATTAAGAAAATGAAATTCAAGATAAAGAATAAAGCCTAAACGACAATCGACGGTTAAATACAAATCTAAGGTTTATGGATTATATTGTTGGATTTCGACGTTGACCCCTTCACGAAAGTTGTAAAGCTTGTCATTACAAGTGATTATATATATATATATATATATATATATTTTTTTTTTTTTTACATTTCTACATAATTATTATTACTTTTATTACTTTTACACTCAAATAAAAAACACTATTCATGACGGTTTGGAGGGTTTTAAAAATCTAAACGATAATGTAAGTGTAACCATTGTCTACTCGTGGAGAAATGATGAATCACGAGTGTTTATATATTCTTTCACATTTTTCATACTTGTAGGGATGTCGTATTGCCTACACTAATTCTATACTAGTTGATTTTAATTTTGGACAACAACATGTTAAGTAAAATTTATCCTATTAATGATAATAAGAAACTCTCATAATAAAAATAAATAAATGAATAAAACTTAAATTTTTTAACTTATGTAGAATAATAATACAAAAAAAATATATTTAATATAGAATATATCAATATATACAATATGGCTATTGTATTTTATAATAAAATTTTTAGCAATTAAACTTTAAATTATAATTTATTTTTTTTAACGGGTTGAAAAGGGTTACCCACGTGTTACCCGCGTGTATAACCGTTAAGAAAACGGGTTCTTAATGGGTCACTCCTGAAACCCGTTATTTTCATGTCGTGTTAACGGGTTTTTAATGGGTCACCCGATATTAATCCAATTAGTTATTGTGTTGATCCAAAACCCGTTATTTTCGTATCATTTTGATAGCGTGTCAGAAACTGTTAGGTCTATAAGGTGTCATTTTCCTTCTTGTTCCCCTTCGATGTTATCGAGAAATTGAATGGACTTTTCGATTTATCAATTAATTCTCAACTCAGAGCCACAACGTTCCGGAAGCATGAGGGTACGCGTTTTTTTAGGTCAGATCCCCACGTTGGATTAAATCTTGTGCAACGGTCACCTATTATAAAATAAATTTAAAAAAAAATTGAAAACGTTCTCAAAGTGGTAAAAAAAAAAGAGAAATGGTAAAATAAACTCTAGTATTCAATTTATATTTAAGAGATATGGCACAAAAAATTATATTTAAGAGTTCAATCCATATGACGTTTTACTAAATTAAATTCCAATGTTAGTACTACTACCAGGAGATGCTTTTCAGCTATGAAGCTGTTCAGTGCTCACACAAATAAGTAGACCTGAAAGCAAGGCGGAACGCAACGATCGTTTCCGTAATCTGTGTGGTTCAGAGGAGTTGCAAGGATTTTTGAATGTTATCTTTGAAGAGTGAAGGGGTCAAAGTCTTTCTGGTGCTTGTCGGTGGGGAAGTTGAGAAGGAAACTCGCCTAGTAGGCCATGGAAGTCTTTTAAGTCGAGCAACATTTAAATGGTTAGTTCCCGCAGGTCTTCCAGTCTCCAAATTCCAAGTCAACAGGGGTGTTAATATATTGCAAACAAAGAATTCTGAACCTCTACAATTCATCACTCTTGTTCTGAATTAGAGGAGCAGTAAATCTTCTTATTCTTCTTCCTTTGCGGCGCTTTCTTCTTGTTGATCAGTTGGGAATTTTCGGATGGCTCCGGTGGCTTTGTTTATTCTCTCCGTTCTTGCTCACCTTGTGGTTCTGCACTCAGCTGAATATTCAGAAGCGGAACCCTCCAAACATTGTCCAGCCCACTTCTGCAGTGACATAGTAGGCAACATCAGCTTCCCCTTCAAAAGCCCGGGAGATCCTCCTGAATGCGGATTGTTCACAGTTGACTGTTCAGAACCCGACCGGCCAAAAATCCAATTGAAAGAGGGAGGGTACTGGCATGAATTCCAAGGCTCTTTATTTTCACCTTCGATTTCTATCAAAGACACAGACCTTGCCGACCGCTTAGAAAAGGATCCCTGCAACGACGGAGTTTTCGACGACTTGAGTCTTCCCAGCGCTTCTTCAATCCCTGACGTAGAATTATTCACACACTATCTGACCCTTTTCAAATGCAACACCACCATAAACCAAAAAATTTATACAGTAAGTAGTGATAGCTGCGAAAATGCTTACCATACTTACTATATCGTTCCATCTAATTATATAAAAAAAATTACACAACACCTAGTTATATTTCATTTTTCCAATTATTAAAAAAAATTATGCTACACCCAACCAAAAAACATTTCTCTAACTTGTAGGTAAATTATTTTCCATGTATTGTTAGATATGTTAGGCATGTTTTATTGTTATATAAACATGGGTGTAACATAATATTTTTAATACTATGCATCGAACTACATTCCTTCTTAATATAGGTAAATTATTTTCCATGCAATTAGTACATATGTTAGACACGTTTTGTTGTTGGTATAAACATTATTTTGCATCATTGTAAAAAAGAGATATTATATTACACCATGTTATAATTGTTGTAGGTAAATTAATGTGCATGTAGATAATGAAATACAATGTTCTAATATATTAATAAAAAGGGATAAATTCAAAAGTATTCAAGAGTAGGGTGAAAAAACTGAATCGAATAGTTTTATGAAAATTCAAAACCTTTCTAAAAAATTAATATGCAATAAATTTTAAACATTAATGTCTTTTTTTTTTCTTGTTGCAAAATCATTTACTATTTCCTTACAATTAATTGTCTACATCAAGTATGTAATAGGGGTATTTTAGGCATGTGAAAAATGTAAAATGTGTGAATTAATATGAAGTTAATGAATTTGCTTTTGTGGATCCTAATCATTGGGTTTTCTTTGAGTAAAAAAGTTATGTAGGGTTTTATATGAGGAAAATTGAGTTTGAAGGGCTAAAGTCATATTTTCAGTTTAACTAACAGCAGTTTTCTTTGCAGTTCAAGTTGCAGGACATAAGCAGTTGAAATTGAAGCTCGGACTAGGTAAGATTGATATCTCCACATTTAAATATATAATTGATATGGATAGTCATGTAGGACAAGCATTAGAACCAAAGGACGGAAATCAATCATTCCCCAATCCCTCTGGATTAATTTTCTAAGAAATCACGGAATGAGCAAGTGTTTAAACACGTTGGCAAAGTCCATTGATTGCTCTGCATAACATACCTTCAATCAAATTTAACTCTTCTTTAGCAGTTGGTGCAGCTTCTGTCATCGTCGTTCTAGTTGTTGTCTGCTGTTTCTTTTGGAAGAAGCGTATCCAAAAACATCAAATTGTTGAGGCCTTTCTAAGGAGCTATGGGCCGCTTCAAGTTCAAAGGCATAGCTATTCGGAGGTCAAGAAAATGACCAACTTCTTCAAAGAAAAATTAGGACAAGGAGGCTATGGTGCTGTTTACAAGGGGAAGTTAAAGGACGGCCGTCTTGTAGCAGTGAAGGTCTTGACCAAACTGAAAGGAGATGGAGAAGAATTTATGAATGAAGTGGCATCCATTAGTAGAACTTCCCATGTCAACATTGTCTCCTTGTTGGGCTACTGTTTTGAGGGTTCGAAGAGAGCTCTGATCTATGAATTCATGCCTAATGGATCGCTCGAGAAGTTCATATTTGATGCAAGTACTCCCAAGAATGATCATCATAACTTGGGATGGGAAACTCTGGACCAAATTTCACTGGGTATTGCTCGAGGATTGGAGTACTTACATCGTGGTTGCAACACACGAATTTTGCATTTTGACATCAAGCCGCACAACATTCTTCTAAGCGAAAAGTTCACCCCAAAAATCTCGGATTTTGGCCTTGCCAAAATATGCAACAGGAACGAGAGCATTGTGTCGATGTTGGGAGCTAGAGGTACAACAGGTTACATTGCTCCAGAAGTATGTTCTAGAAACTTTGGAAAGGTCTCGCACAAGTCTGATGTGTACAGCTATGGAATGATGCTTTCAGAGATGGTTGGAGGAAGAAGGAACATCGACACTGAAGCTGAAAATACAAGTGAAATATATTTTCCGCATTGGATTTACCAACGTCTTGAACGGGACGAGGAGCTTGGTCTGCAGAGAGTTACGAACGATGAAGACAAAGTAAGAGCGAGGAAGATGATCATAGTGAGCTTGTGGTGCATACAAACTGATCCTTCAAACCGGCCAGCGATGAAGGAAGTGATAGATATGTTGGAAGGGAGTGTTGATTCGTTGCAGATACCACCCAAGCCTTACTTGTCTTCTCCTCCAAAATCCTCGGCAGATTCCTCTACTACATTGGTATCAATACAGTAGAAACCTGTATTTTACTTGATTGAATCTATGCTTTCTGAGGCAATCTAAATAATGAAGTATGCATTTTATTTTTGTTTTTTGTTTTTTTTCTTCTATATATATGAATGAATCAACACAGTAGGAGTGAGTGTGTCACTCCTACTACCCTTCCAGCAAAATGTATGAAACATTTGCATTTGTGGCTCGAGCCAGTGGACCAAAGTAGTGTGCCCGCTTCATGCATCTTGCGAAGCCATGTGATTCTATTTTGACAAACAGTGAAGAGAATTGAAGCCGTGTTGAATTTCAGGGTTTTTGCAGCACCTTTGAAAATAAGTGGATAGGCGGTACCCCATTACTTGAACAAATAACCCTATGGTGGTGCTGGATGAATTTCCAAGCGACAAGCATGTTGCATATGATCAACTTAAGCAAAATTATCGATGCACGCCGCCAATATGATTAAAATAAAGGGATAATAAGAATCCTCTGCAATTTTTTAACAACTTTTAGATCAATCATTTGTTTCTTTTTAAGATTTGATTAAGACGCTTTAACCAACGACCACGTCATCATTTGTTGTTTATTTAAATTACGTATTTTTTTAAGCTAAAAATCTAATTATCGGTTTCCAAATATGTCCTTTTAAGATTTTTATTTTTATGTGGCCTCTTTTTTAGGGGAATATTTTCTGCTTGTTGATAATGTCTGGAAATTAATCTTCACATTTGAAATTTGTGATCTCCTATGTTTGAAATTCGAATGAAATTTTTCATTTTAATTAGTGGTTGTTTTTACAAATTTATCTTGTTCCCGTTTGGAAACAAGAGAGGATCTTGTGTTTGCTTGGCTTCACATCGGTGTTATCGAAGCTTGATTTAAAGAGCGCAGTTAATATAAATAATGCGCATGGAGAATGTTTTTCTGCAACAAGCTGTATTTTGGAAGAGATTGGTTTCGAAATTTGTAATTGTGCTTGGCAGCGATTAGATAGCAACCAAGCAACTCATCAGGCTGTGAAGAAAAGGAACTGTGACTTTCTTTCATGGATTGAGGATCCTCCACTATGGCTGGTATATTTTCTTGATACATATCATATAGCACAAGTGGAATTATATCTTACATTATTTTGAAAGACAATACGTTCCAGAATAGGTGAATTCTTCAAAGCCTCTGTTAGACATTCCCAATAATTGCGATGGCAAAGAACCAGCTCCAATTTGACCAAATTTTCAAAAGCAGGCAGATATGAAACCTGCAAGAAAGATTAGTATTCACAAAAAAACGTGTAAGAAGAATGGCAAATAATGTATACAAGCTAGGGCATGGTTACCTAATTGGAACTTCAAGAATGAGATATTTTAATTACAATAAAAAATATGTTTGTTACGGTAATTACTTTACGTACCATGTCACATCCCGGTCCGAGACGGATCACTTCCCGGGTCCGCTCCACCACCGTAGCATGTTATTGTCCGCTTTGGGTTTAGCATTTCCTCACGGTTTTGTTTTTGGGAACTGACGAGCAACTTCCCAGTGGGTGACCCGTCATGGGATTGCTCTCGCGCACTACTCACTTAACGTCGGAGTTCCCATGGAACCCGAAGCTAGTGAGCTCCCAAAAGGTCTCGTGCTAGGTAGGGATGAGAATATACATATAAAGATTACTCCCTTGGGCGATGTGAGATCTTACATACCAAATGACTGGTACGTTCAAAATTAAATATTTGTTTACGTACCAAATGACATGGTACGTTCCAAACTCACATTGCACAAACAATATTTAGTATGTTTTTAATTACAATAACAAACACGTTTGTTACGGTAATTACTTTACGTACCAAATGACTGGTACATTCAAAATTAAATATTACTTTACACATCAAATGACTGGTACGTTCAAACTAATATTATTTTATGTATCAAATGACTGGTATGTTCAAAATTAATATTACTTTACATACAAAATAAGTGGTACGTTCAAAATTAACATCACTTTATGTACCAAATGACGTGTAGGTTCAAAATTAATATTATTTACGTACCAAATTAATGATTGATACTTTTAAAATTAATATTACTTTATGTATCAAATGACTGGTACGTTCAAAATAATATTACTTTAAGTACAAATAAGTGTTATGGACTAAATTATCATTACGTATCGTGCAAAAAAACTGCTACGGTACAAACTCGCTTTACATGCCGTACCAAATATATATACATACCAAAATGTACATTAAATAACGTAACAAAGCACAAGGCAAAGTGTACCTATATTATGCTCTCATGATTAAGCAATAATTCAATTGCAGCTACAAATTAAGAGGGTTAGAAGAGGAGTGGAAGACCCTTTTTTTTTTTTTTTTCATAAGAAAAACAAAATCATGCACGTGGAAAAATTTTATGGTAGGAAATAATTATGATTAATATATATTATGAAATTCAAATGCTTCTTATCTGCAGGGAGGAGGATATGTATTATGCAGTATTTGTTTTGATTGAATCTCTTAGATATAAGTTAGGCAAGAATTTAGGAAACTTTTTTTTTTTGTTATCGTGAAGAATTTAGGATTTTGGGCATCATTGTTTTGCTTTGATAAAATATATGGTAGGTTTTGTAATTTAAGTACTATAAAATAAGCAAATAAAAATCACGTGACACCAAAATTGTAGGAAAATGTTTAATCAAATTTCTAAAGTGAATAGATGTTTAGTCTAAAAAAATTAAAAAACAGACACCTATATCAAAATGCCCATTGTTTTCAATAAAAATTATAATGTGATTTTGACCAAAGGTTTTTTAATTAGCAAAAGCAATTACGAGAAAAATATTTTCTTCATAAGCATTTACGAAATTCCGATGCATGAAATAATACCATAAATAAAATTATGAGTTTAGACCTTAGCTCTTGAAATGAACAAAAAATGTGATGTAACGGACTATGTCTGATTCAAAAATGATTAGTTGAATCCTAGAAATAGTATTTGATCGCCCAAATCATGTACCCTCTTCCATGCCATCCGGCTGAAATCCAGTTTATATGCTTTGAAATCATGTGTTTCAAGAACAGCATCAGGTTCGGGGCTATAAAACCTACAAACAAGTAGAAGCTCTCCACAAGATTCCACAAGATACTTCAACACACCATAATTTTCCTGCTCCTCGGACATTTTTACTTAATGGCTATCTGTTTTTATCTCATGATCATCCTCTGTTCTGATGGCAGCAATCCCATTAGTAACCTTAATCTTCGAAATGCTATAATCACTGCTTAGAAGATAGAAACTTCCATCTGAGAAGACAGCATCCTCATACGGCTCACCATCTAGCTTATGTTTAAGCCATGATTGAGCTCCGCAGACCCAAAACGCAAGCTCCGGGTGTTGACTATGAACAAGCATGCAAACAAAGTTTTCGACAGAGGGAAGCGCTGAGAGAACCATCTTGTGATAAAAATTCCATGTTTTGGGAAGATCAGTTTTCTTCCTAGAGAATGGATTCAACAAGCTAATCTCAAGGTTGCAACAATCGACTTCTTTCACTAGAATCAACCAGTCTTGATATGATCCCCCAACAGTATCTTCCAGTAGATTTTGAGGGGCAAATTGGTAATATTAGTTGGAATAGTGCGGAAAGGGAAGCGACGGGAGGAAGGCGAAAGAAGAAAGCAAGTGGCGAAGCAGGCTCTGTATAAATGGATGGGTACTGCTTAGGGGTAGGAGAAGAACAATTTTTTTTTTTTAGGCTAAATAGCCAAAATGATCCTGAAATTTGCATAACACATCATTTTGATATCTGAGATTGAAAATTAATAGAAATGGATCATGAGATTGTCCACCGTTCATTATTTTGGTTATTCTGTTAAAAACTCCGTTAAGTGTCTTGGAGCTTTTGGCCGGAAGTTTGGGCAATTTTCAAAGTTTCGTAACTCAATCGTTTCTTAACCAAATTTGACTCATAATATATCAAAATGAAGATAGTAAAGTGTAGAACAAGATTATACCATTTGGAAGCCCAATGGTTGCCGGAGATGGCCGGAAAATAGCCTCAAGATTGACTAGCCAGCGGAAAAACTGGAAAATCGAGTTATTTAAAAATGAAAATCATACTTCTCAAGAAGACAAAGAGAATGGTACCTTTCTCGACGGCTAATTAACTGTGGTTTGGCCGGAAAACGGCTCGAAAATGGCTAACTTGAAAAATAGTTAGCCACTTTCGAGCCGTTTTCCGGCCAAACCACAGTGAATTGGCTATCAAGAAAGGTACCATTCTCTTTGCAAACAAAGAATTCTGAACCTCTGTGCAATTCATCACTCTTGTTCTGAATTAGAGAAGGTGTAGATCTTCTTATTGTTCTTCCTTTGCGGCGCTTTCTTCTTGTTGATCAGCTGGGAATTCTCGGACGGCTCCGGTGGCTTTGTTTATTCTCTCCGTTCTTGCTCACCTTGTGGTTCTGCACTTTGCTGAATATTCAACAGAGGAACCCGCCAAACATTGTCCAGGCCATTTCTGCAATGACATAGTAGGGAACGTCGGCTTCCCCTTCAGAAGCGTGGGAGATCCTCTTGACTGCGGATTGTTCACAGTCGATTGCTCAGAACCCGATGGGCCAAAAATCCAGTTGAAAGTGGGAGGATACTGGTATGAATTCCAAGGCCCTTTATCAAATTCGATTTTTATCAAAGACAGAGACCTTGCCGACCGCTTAGAAAAAGATCACTGCGATGACAGAGTTTTCGACGAGTTGAGTCTTCCCAGCGCTTTTCCAATCCCTGAAGTAGCATTATTCACACACAATCTTACCCTTTTCATATGCTACACCACCTTAGACAAAAATTCTTATCCACAACTTAATGATAGCTGCAGAACTGATTCCAATGATACCAGGGCATATAAACCCATTACTTATATGGCTTCATCTAACGGTAGTTTACCTAGCCCCCCTCCGCCAGAGTGTGAAACCATTCAGGTCCCCATGCTTCCGGCTCAACCCATCACGTTCTCTTCATTGACTGCTGAGTTTTCACTCGAAGTGTTGTCACTCGAATGTAATATATGTCATGTAAGAGAAGGTGAATGTCTGGTCGAA